TAATTTAATAATGAATCTTGTAATTGGATTTTTTTTTTTTTTTTGATCAAATTGGATAATGAGAATTTAAACGTATAGGATATTTTATTATGAAGAGTGTGATTATTAATGTTTTTTTTAATTTTTGAAGGAAAGTTGAGCCAGATGTTAAATTAGTTTGGAGAGGATATTTGGAAGTTATAACATTCTAGCCTCCTAATAACTTAAAAATGGGTGTTCGTTTGGAAAATTCATTTCGTTGGTGAAAATTCTTATATAACTTTATCGCGAGTGACTTTGAAAATAGGTATAAGAACTTCGATCACGATAACTTTTTCGTCTAATCAAACTTTTGTCTTGTACATAAGGGAAGGGAAAAATTGTAACTCATCGAGTTTGATGATTCATTTGATAAGTGAATAATATAAAAATTAGGGTGAATAGACTGTTTGGTAACATCGCGATAATAACAAGATAACACTATAGATAACATATAAGTTACATATTTGATAAAATAAAGTGCAACTTGGTAGAATCTAGCCAAAAGATTTTTCTTATATTTTTTATCGTATTAAAATATTAGAAAAATAAATAATAAAATTGTAAAATGAAGAAGAACGGATTAAACTCCAGAAGTCGAGGAGTAATCAAGCATAAATTCGTATCTTACTACGAGATTCTCTATCCATTTTCCAGAATTAGTATCGACTTGTGATTTAAAAAATTGATATAAAAAGATACATGAGTGGAAAAAGAGAAAATCGGAGAAGTAGTGGGGGAAAAACCGCACAAAGAACATTTTTAATTATATACTGCTCGCATCAGACGATTATCAATGAATTATAATTCATTATCAACGACTCCATTCATCGTATAAGTGTGAGAATCGTTTCCATTGTCCATCACGTCGTCTCGAAAGAAAGAAAAATCCCCAAGGCAGATGTATCAGTTCACATAATCGTGCGGCCAAAGTGTTAACGTCATCAAAGATAGAGGAACGATAGTAACGAGAGGAATGTAAGAAATCTCGTCGGCCAAACTGCGAAATTAATTCGTTCGAAATTAATTCGTTCGACTAATCTAGATTCCATAAATTTTCAGAAATTTTCAGAAATGTTAATATAACCGATGAATGCTAATTTTTCGTCTACATTTCAAATTTATTCAATTCAGTAGAAGCAGCTCTTTCATCAAAGCAGCGATACAAATATCGTCTTATTTATGTGATGAATACGGATCGTATATGAAATAATAAGAATAAGAGATTGTGAAATATAATGTCGAACAATATTTCCTCTGGATTTATATTAATTATATCGTTATTTCTTATAATAATATCCTTAATAATCGTGATAAAAAAATATTTTCTTCGTCGACATTTTTTTTTCCCTAAATTTTTCTCTCTTCGTTATTCCATTAAAGTCTTCTTCGTAAAGTTTTCAACTACAAGATAAAAATTTCATTTTGTACGGAAAAGAAAAAAAATCAGAAAATTTCCTGTTAATTAACTGAAAAAAGAAAAAAAGAAACGCAGTATCAATTAGCAGAATATCTGGAATTCGACTTTCGAGCCTTCCATTACACGAAGAAGGGTAGCACTTGCAGGCCATTAACGACGACACTTCAGGATAATTGACGTCGTTTTCGAGGAATATCAACTCTTTATTACTATCCCAAGAAGAGATCGATCATCGTGCCGACCTTCGAGTCACTATGAAGCCGTAAAAATTCATTTAACGTTCATTTGCTCGATCTCTTTACACTTCCTCGTCCTTTTTTTCGCTCTTTTCCTTTTTCCTTTTCCTCTCTTTTTCATCGATATCCGTAAAAGGATTAAATTCTCTCGCGTAAAACACGAACGTTTCATTTCAAACATTCTCTTTCCGCATAATTTTAGAAGAATCGTGCTCGCCATTTTTTTTTTCTACGATTTCCATTCAAACTTCAATCCGTTGTTATAAATATCCCCGATGGTTGGGTGCTGTGTGTTTCAAACGTCGGAATCTGTAGAAGAGTTTACAACATCTTGGAAATTTCCGCGCATGGAACGATACGTCATCGAGCCTTCGAGCATATTCATCGGGCATCTGCGTCAGAACGCTCGGCTGGTTTATTACGTCAGACGCTTGTTGACTCGGTCAAAGCGTTATCGCTTCGTTTTCAAGGTAATTTTGCAAAGCGATGCTTTATTTGCCTCGTTTATATTGCAATATCTCTTATAAAAATATATTTACGTAGATACGTTACGATGTATTCTCTCATTTCGAAATTGGAGACAAAGTTTCGATCCATGTTTATGCATCGAAAAATTCGAAATTTTTTTTCTTCTTTCGATTAGATTTCAGAACACAGAAGAGAGATCAACAGAGAATTTCTCTAATAAATAATACTAAATACTACTAGTAAATAATACTAATTATTTGATCTAAATTAGCGAAACGAAAAATTATGATAAAAAGAAAAAAGAACGTTAATACATAAGAATAATTGGAAATCAGTTGCCAGACGGAATACACAAACGTTTGATATAACTTTTACTCGTTTATCGAGTGGAAACACCCCCAAACATCCCCCGAAGAATCAACGATTTTCGTTTAGATCCCGAGCTTATCGCGGCCTCTCGACTATCATCCCCCATTTTCTCACCCCCTTATTCCCTTGATTCTCGGTTGATGCGGGTCAAATCCTCCCCCTCCCAACGGACAAAGACAAAGCGTCCCGGCATAAATAATTTATCCCCTAGGAAGCAACAGCCTCCCTCTTCTCACGTTGCGCGTTGCATTAAATATGAAATCCAATATAAACTTTTCCTTGTAACCGACTTCCCCCTCGCACTCCCCTTCCCATCTCCTCCCCCCCCTCTATACGCACATCGACGAAGAACGATCAAAATCTCGTTGTTTTCGAGAGCGTTAACCGTTGTCGTTAATTAATCGCGGCTGTCGTCCCAATCGATTGTGAAATCCGACGAGACCCCCGCTAATGAAAATATTTAACAGGCCGGCTAATTTGCATCCACGTTATTAACCGACTGAGCCTGACTGTTGTGCGCCGTCCACGCTTCGATCCAACGTTTTCCACGTTGTTCGAGGATATGAATTAATTTGGAAAACAATTAACGGGTGTACGAGTATACAGTTTGGGTTGCACCCAACCCAACGTGAGTGAAACGGCCATGAATTATTGCGTTACGAGCGGGGTGTTGTGCCGGTCGGATGAAAAGAACGCGTGTACGTCTGCTCGCTCTGCCGTGTAATTAATCATATGATGATAAGTTTCATCCATTAGATCGATTCTTGGTGTTTTGGAATTTCTAAAAATCTTATTTTATCTCGTAAAGGAAATACGGTTCGCGATTTCATGGATTGGGCCAAAATTTTTACGATAATTCAAATTTCTTTGAAATTTGACACAGATGAGGATTATTGGACGAATATTAAAATTTTTAAAACGTGTATTGTTATTGTACTTACAAAGAATTTCGATACGTTTCTAATTCGAAACAAAGGTTAAATATTCGTTCGATAAAATTCTCGCGCCATCGTAACATCGAGAATATTCGATCGAACGAAATTTCTGGGGAAAAAAAAAATTCCATCCCCTCGTATCACGCATAACAGGTATCAAAACGAATGACAGTGGCCACTAATTGGCGGCCATTTTTCCCCGCCGATCATGCCTCCTCCTCCTCGTGACCAAGGGTGAAACGCGCTATATATATCGTTCAATCGCGCATCCCTGGATCGAATATCAATGCGTCGGACCAACCGTCCGACTCTCGTGCAACTCTCGTCCATCAATCCAACCGCATTCATATGTTTCCTTTTTTTTCTTTTTTTCAATATCAAACTTCCAACATGTATCTAAAAAGCGACATTGTAACAACGAGGGAGAAAAAAAAAAAAAAAAAAAAAAAAAAAAAAAAAAGGTTTTTCTTTATTTTAGAAGAGGTGTTCCCGGAGGAGGGCGGGCCCCAATTCTTTTGCCCTTTTTTTTTTAAAAATAAAACTTCCAACAATTATTTAAAAAGCGACATTTTAACAACGGGGGGGAAAAAAAAAAAAAAAAAAAAAAAAAAAAAAAAAAAGGTACGCTCGACCGGTCTGAATTTCAAAGCGCGGGCCTCGAGTATCTACGCGCGATAGGAAATCGTCGAACCAGCAAGGAATATTAATAACTTTGGCGCGCGTTTCGCGCCGCCGCTTTTCGAATTCGAACGAACGATCGATCCGCGGAGAGGGGCCGCATCCGCACAAGTGTGCGAACTTGGAATGGACAAAAGGTGTGCATCCGCCGTGATTTCACACAAGAGAAGCTGGGTGAACATCCTTGCCTTGGTTGCGTCTATATTATTCGAGTTTGAAGAGCGGATCCTCGGAGCGCGAGGATGGATCGCTGATCTACATGTTTATCCAAGTTCGAGCTCTCATTACCGAGGCCCGGTGTTTGTTAAACGTTAATTCGAAAGCGAAGACGTTGGAGAAATTCTATTAAATCGTGGCTGGAAACGTTGTTGGAATCGATAAGATAAACTTAAAATTTAATTTCGAAAATTCTATGTGAATTTTGTTGCATTATCGGGAAATTGATCAAAAATTCTTTAATAAGTTTTAACTTCGACACAAGGATGAAATAAATTCATTCGTCATCGTCGATTAAGAATTAAAATTGAACGGAATAAATTTGATTATCTGTGTATCTGTAACCGATCCAGCCTCGTTCTCTTTACTTATTTATCGTCACAATTGGCACGATATTTCCATGACCGTGTTCTGAATAACTTTTAATTAATTCCCTCCTTTTCGTTTCCTTCTTTAAAAGAAATCTCGATAATCTGTGAACAGAGAATCGAATAATAACGTGTCTCCATAAGCCGAGCAACGCCTGTCAGAATAATAATACTATAAATTCCGCGATATCCTGGAGGCAGTGGTGAACGACTCGTCGTCTCGGCGACGCTTGCACTTTGTCGCGACGCTCCACGGCATAAAACTCATTTCGCTTATTTCTCGCTTTTTCAGGATGCAGAGACAAAGCCGGAGTAGCTCGGAGGTGGAGGTTGCGCTTATGCGCCCCGTAAGCACGGCTGGCTAATAGCACCACGGCCCATCCCTGACACCCTACAGCCACACCAGGTAGGATTTCTCTTTCGCCACGTCCTTTATGTTTGTCTTTTATGCATCCATCGTCCCATACGTCATTTTGCGCGCCGACTTTAACAGCAAATACCCTTTCTGCCCCTTGACGGCTGACAATACCGAAATCGAGCAACGTGGAACGATGTTCCATAGATTAACAGAAACAGTTTTTGAAACGGAATATTCGAAGAATGGAAATGAAAATCTTAAAAAATTTATCGTGCTACGAATACGATGTGAAGCAACGTATTTTCTTCGAATTGGTTAATGTGTCCATGAATGAAAATGATTTTCAACTGCGTATAACAATCGCATAACTGGGATGGAGTAATAATAAATGTTTTTTGTTGGTTAATTTGTCCTAATTTTAAACCGCTGGATCGAATGCGAACGGTTGAGTATGGAGAGGAATGAACAGATTTAGATTGCGCGGATCTATTTGATATCGTATGAATAATAGTAGCAATTCTGTCTGCCGTAGGTTTCAGGCTTTCGAACGAGGTATTAATAACGAATTGCCGACTGCACGTGATTATTAATAGTGTCTTTTGTGACTGTTTGATGTGACGGTTTTAAATTTTCATAATATTTTCCTATACGTGAAGTCTTCAAAATTAATCGACAAAAGTGTTGTACCAAGACTGTCTGAAAGTCATCATAATGGAAAGAATTTTTTTTATTTAATAATAAAAAAAAACAAGTCTGTTTCGATAAATATGTCAAGTGATTAAAGCGATTAAACGATTAAAAATTGGCTAAGCCTTTTATTATAAATATGAAAATCATCGAAGGAGAAGGCCTTAACTTATCAAAAAAGATCGTGACACTGTTCTCTCTCTTCCTATTCAAAAAGAGTTTCTCAAGGTTAAAGATCACGCAAGAACGTTCTTTACGCATTCTTACCCGTAAATCACCTCCGCGCAGCTTCTTGGAAAGATGAAAAATGAAAATGTTAAATATCGAAATGGAGAAAGGGGATCGAGAAACACATTCTCGATCCTCCTAGAGGAGATCCTCTTTCGAAACGAAGCGCAAATAATCTCGCCGATAAATCTAAAAGCCTCGCATAGCCATCGGTGATTTCAAGAACGAGGCGCATATTTTCCCTCGTTCACCAAAAGGATCCATCGAGCGGAAGATTTACTCGCGTTACCCCGAAATCGGCGCCGCCACTAAATCGGCCGGATTGCGTAATAAAACGTTTTTACAACGGGATAAATTTATAACGAAAATTACGGCAATTGAAAGGCGAGGAGGAGCGAGGGAGGGAGGGAAGGGACGGGCAGAGGGAAAGTGGAGCAAGGACTGCGGGAGATCTAGATACTCTCGAACGATTTGTAGCCCCTGGAGGAACGGAACGAGCCATAGTAATTTCAAGAGGAGGCGCGTGGAAAACGATTGCGCCTGCGTTTCCCGATATCAAGGACGCGGAATCACGATTAAACCGCCTCTTCCAGCTAATTCATACGCCTTCGTGAACCTGAAATTACGAATATTCAGCCTCTGTTTTCTATCGTGTTCGAGGAGGTATTCGGTAATTAGGAGAGGAGATGTGATGATTCGATTGAAAATTCACGTGGATCGTAATGGATGGATTGAAGAATGAAAGAAGAGAAAGAATATCGACGATATATATATATTTTTATCGTTATGCGTACTAAATATTGTTCGGAGATAAATTGATTTGTGGAAGCGCGAGAAAAAATTTGAAAATCGATTTATCCCTCTCTGGTAATTCCAAATTGACGCATAATTAGTTTCATTTTGAGATGCAAGAGATATTAATAGCGACAACTTGTTTTAAAACGAACGTTTTATGTGAATATTGACGGAAAATGACGAGTAAAATTTCGAATTTTCATATAAAAATTTTTGTCATCAAAATCTACTCAAAAGATAAAGGAAGCGATACCATTGAAATTCCTTTTTGTTTTATCCCGATATCTCGATCCGTTGCCGAGATATAAGAATTCAAAGTTTAACGTAACGCCAGAAATTATGAATGGGTCCGCGACCCACTGACCTACATTTTTTCCTGGAAACGCGTACCACTGTTTTTTGCAGGAACCGCGCACTCGTCTGGAGATTAAGATAGGTCAGTGAGGCGAAGTGCGAGCGAGAGGTCCGAGTAAGCGACAAGGAGAAAGTTAATAAACGATTAAAAATTACTCTTCTCTTTACACGACGATATCTCGGGAACCGGAAGTCGTATCGAGATGAACCAAAAAGCGTTTTAAAGAGCAAGGTTCCGCGCTTCTAACGATCGTTCACCCGTTGACCGGAAGTCATTATCTTCGGAGTTATAGCGGTTCAAATTTTTCTTAATTTTAATTGGGTTTAATAGGGTTTAAGATAAACGGTCAAAATTTGTCTTTTCTTTATTCGTCGATATCTCGGGAACCGGAAGTCGTATCGAGATGAATAAAAGAGCATTTTAAAGAGCAAGATTTTGCGCTTCTAATCATCGTTCATCCGTTGTCCTAACGTTATTATCTTCGGAATTACAGCGGTTCAAATTTTTCCCAATTTCAATGGGATAAGTTCAACGATTAAAAATCCCTTTTTCTTTACACGACGATATCTCGGGAACCAAAAGTCGTATCGAGATAAATCGAAAAGCGTTTCAAAGGGCAAAATTCCCCGCTTTTAACGATTTTTCATCCATCCATTGAAAATATCTTCGTCTGGTGAAAGTATAATTCAAAATATGTGCAATATGAAAAGATATATACATATATTCGTAAAATCCCAGGTACCATACTTTTTAATCAAACGAAACGAATCTATCTATTTCAATAAGAGAGACAACGATCGGGAGAAATAAAAATTTACGATGGCTTTACAAAAATAGAATGGAAACAAATCGAGCCAACGTGGGATATTCTTTCGAGTTAAAAATAGGAAGGGAAAAAGAAACGAACATCCCTCGCCCCTTACGTACGTAGTTATACAAGAACCACGGCAAGGAGTTAATCTTCTCGAGGAACACGGAACTTCCTTTCCAGGTTTGGCTCGCATCTTACATAGCAACGCGGCATTTAACGAACAACGCTTCTCGCTCACCTCTTCTCCTCCGCAAAAGATTCGAAACAACCTCGACGTTCGTGCCACCCTGGCGACCGAACACGAAATCCGCCAACGTTCGTTCACGAAGTGGAAAATCGTTTGCGAGTCATCTCTCTCTTTCCTCTCTCTCGTTTAAATCTCGTTCGCGAGGGATAAACGCGAACGAGGCAACCTCTCTGCCCACCCCACGGTGAAATATTCTCGTGCAGGATAGGCTGTTTACGTGTAATAGTCGGCTCGCCGATTTACAGTAATTTTACACGCGCCTAATTAGCAATTCCGATCGAGTTCGACCCTCCGTACACGGGCTACATGCCTTTCGTAACCGGTTCGCCCGGCCGATAATCTACCTAAATCTATACATATATATGTACATACGCGAAAGTAGCATTCAATACTCGAAACGTTGAACAAATAAAAATATTCATGTTGGAAAGGGAATGTTATAATTACCGCCTGTTTCTTTGGTTACAATCTATCCAATATCTGCAATATCTGCATCCAAGGAAGTTTGTAATTTCGTAATTGTTATTAATATTAGAAAAAATATTAAATATCGAATTGCAGATTGATCTTCCTAATAAATTAATTTAAATGAATGTATACATATGTATACAACATTTATGCTTTCTTTCGAAACTCTACAACGTATTTCTATTGTTCACACGATTTCTATAAAGATCGTTCGAATACTTTTTTTTATTTATTCGTGTAGCACGCGTTCAAGCGCGATATATATAAATGTAAGCTGAATAGAATAAAGTCTTTATTCCCATCTGGGAAGAGAGATAGAAAGAGAGAGAGAGAAAGTGGAAGAGGATATAAAGGATTATTTGAAACGTAAATATGCGGTAACGGAGAGCGCAAGGCAAGGGGTGAGTCGGGCGTAAATCGAAAGCGAGAGGAACGAATGGAACGAGGGGGAAAATTAAATAATACATAAAGACTGGGATTACGGGAATATCTCGTTTATAGGTGTACGACGGCGGAGAGAAGAGCAGCAGCGGAAACCGTTGCTTTTGAGAAAAGCGCATTCTCCCGGATGCAGGGGGGGTTTGAAGAGCGTTGACATTCAAGGGCGTTGTCGAGAATCAACTATTTACGCGGAAAAATGGAATTTCTCCGGTGAAATTGTACTTTGCGTTATTGTTACACGCGATAACAGCGATAATATTTATTTAACGAGTAGCACTACCTTCGGTAAACAGGAGAAGTAGTTCGTGGAGTGGTACAAGTTGGTCGCACAAGTATCCACGTTCGCTTTAAATATTCAGGGTCGTGCATTATGCAAAATTATGCGCTTGCAAAGAGGACACGTGAAATGTACTTTTAAAAAATATTTAGCGACTTTCAAAATATATTCTTTCATCCCCCCGAATCTAAATATATCAAATGAACAATCTTTCGTCAAATAATTTATATTTATCAAAATATTTATCAAAATTCACTTCCTTTATATGAATCGTCATAAAGGATGCAACAGATCCTCCACTTCCAAGAAGAAGAAATGCGATAAACGGATGGAAGCATTTTCGATAAAGTTTCGACATCGACGTTTCCAAAACGCGACGAAACCATTCAGCAGGGACGATTCTCGTTTTGCCGCCTTTTCATCTTCGAGGATGCGCACCTTTTGTCGCCTTGTATATGTTCGCGCATGCGAGACGCGACGAGTTCCCCCAGACAGAGATGGTTTCCGCCCGCCCCGAGCGATCGAGAGCGGCACGAAGCGACGATACGAGGATGCGAAAGGTGTAATTGATGGGTTCGGTTGGTTTATGGGAGCGGCAGGGGCCATAGTGGTCGCGTGTTACGGTGTTTCGCATCTTTATTAGCGGCAAGTCGGTATTTATAGAGGGACAGATCGCGGCACGCGATTCACCGACCTTCGTTCCCTTGTTCATTCTTAATTCCTTCGACCCTTCTCTCTC